GTGCTGGTGGCGCGCGGGCTGCGCATCAAGGTGAGCGAGGCCTACCGGTTCCGCGTGGCGCTGCCCGCCTACCCCGCATCGCTCTCTGACGTCTCCCTGCTGCTGAGCGAGCTGAGGCCCAATGACTCAGGTGTCTACCGCTGTGAGGTCCAGCACGGCATCGATGACAGCAGCGACGCGGTGGAGATCAAGGTCAAGGGTGGGTGTGCCGCGGAGGCGCTTATCCTGGGGACCCCCGCCCGGAGCAGGGGAGCAGGAGCACCTGGACGGTGGAAAGACTGACGTGTGCGCCTGTAATTCTAACTCTGCAGAAGGCTGAGGCAGGAGGATCTCAAGTTCAAGCCCAGCCTGGGCAACTTAGTGAGACACTGTCTCAAAATTAAAATTTAAAAAAGAGCAGAGAATGTAGCACTGTGGCTCAGCACTGAGGCCTTGACTTCCCACTCCAGCACACACACACACACACACACACACACACATGCACGCACCCACACACTACTGGGGATTTAGCATAGCCATATGTGCCAGCCTCGAAAGTACAAGGTCCTGAGTTGATCCCCGGTACCAAAACAAAAACCCACAAAATCCCCACCAAAACACCAGGTAAAGGCGGTTCGTCCCGCACTCTAGATCAAGCCCCTCGCCCTGCAGTGTGAGCTCAGTCACAGCCCACACTTTAGCCACTGGTACGGAGCGGGAGGGGAGGGAAGGGGAGGCCCGAGCGCGGGTGGTCCGGGCTCAGAAGCCCTCTCTGCCCGCAGGGGTCGTCTTTCTCTACCGGGAGGGCTCTGCCCGCTATGCTTTCTCCTTTGCCGGGGCCCGGGAAGCCTGTGCTCGCATAGGCGCCCGCATCGCCACTCCAGAGCAGCTCTACGCCGCCTACCTCGGGGGCTACGAGCAGTGCGACGCTGGCTGGCTGTCGGACCAGACCGTGAGGTGGGCTGGGGCCAGCGGAGGTGGACGCCCGGGAGGAGGGGCCTGCGGGATCATACATCACATTTGCTGCACACCCATACATGCATACTGTGTACACACATATCCCATGCACACACATTACACACATCCACCACAATCACACCAAGATATCCTCTAGGTGCACAGAGAAAATACACATCCTGCTATACCCATCCAC